CAAGGTCAGTGCCCTTCGACATCATGAATTTCAGCCAGCAAATACATCCTCAACTAAATGGGTGAGTTTCTTACTGATAATATTTTTCATATCTCTCTAATAAACAAATCCTTTACGTTCCTTATTTATTATTAAATCAGCTTTGCAAATCATTCGTTAATCTTCACTGTACACCTTGCATAAAAATTTCATATGGTACACATAAGGTGTCATGCACACCAGAAAATTAAAACGACTGTCACGGTTAAACTACATATTATTTCGAGTCCGAAAAATTAGTGAATATTCTTCAGACGTTCTAAAGTAAAGGTAAACAGCGTTTTTCTTAAAAATATCACTGTTATGTAGTAAAAAAAATCCGTAAAGTTCTCGCCTTGTGACTTGTTCAATACTTCGATCGCGGCTCGAGTCCGTCCCGACCTTCTGTCAAAGCCTCGTGCTGCGGACTCTCTCGCGGACCCTCTCTCTCGCACCGTCACCTCTCATTGGCCAGTGTTTTTCGTTAATAACTCGTAAACAAAGCCGCGGATTGCATTTTCGCAAAGGAAAAAGTTACTTCAAATGACCTCAGCTACCCCTCATTTTCGGCTGTTAAAATAATTGTGGGACACCCTGTATATATATAAATATATAATATATACTATACATATACATATAATAAAGTAATATAACATAAAATATGCCGACATTCTATAGTAACTTGCAATGTCAGAACATTGTATAAGATGTATGTGAGCGTCATCGGTGCACTATAACAACGTGCCAAGCTCGCGGTTAAGATTTCATACGTGTAATCAGTCTAGGAATGAAAGTGTACGTAAAAACGTTCAAGAAACAAAAATTGCCTTGTTCTATCAAGAAAATTATTTTTTTTCAACGCAACTGTGAAAAAGATTGTAGTGCCAAAAGTTAAGAAGATTCTTCAGGGACAAATTATACCAGTATTTGGCAAAAACTTTGATCACTTGGAAAATTCAGTGTACTATATCTCCAAAATAATTATGTTAAACCACATTAAGCACAGATATCTGTTGTGAAAACTATAATGAACAGACAGCGGATTTTATGCGTTTATGACAGACAAATGCAATTTGAATAGAATAAAAAGGTTGTAAGAATTAAAAAGTATCAAAAAGAATATTCCAGTAAAAAAAGAGCATTGCAACAAAATTGTTAAAGAAACGAAGATGTTTCTAATTGGCTCTTGCGTTTCACAACACTTGCAGAATATTTTTATTTCGCATAAGAAATCCGCAGTCCAACAATATTTATATTATAAATATTATAATAGTATTAGTAGGCTATTATATAATATATAATATATATATATTATATATATATATAATAGAGAGTCACCGGCTATTATAATAGTATTATTTAGTATTATAATATTATAATAGTAATAGTAAAATATGGACTTCTAATTAGAATTTCGACTCGTATCGTCTTCTGACGTTCTTACTTGTCGAAGTCCCGTTTCTTGTTCTTCCAGACAGAATCCTGCTTAACTTCCTTGTCGTCGCCCTCCAGCTGATCCGTGCTCTCCATCTCGTTCTGTTGCTTTGCTGAAAGAATCATTTCGTTCGGTTTTACCAATCCTCGCAGTAATGTCTCCCTAATTGACGCTCAGATTGTCCACAAATATGGACAATTTAGGAAAAGGAGATACGATTATTCGAGCCTTGCGGTTCGTTTTTATAGCTACGAATTGTTAAGAACTATAAAAACGAGCTGCAAGGCTTGAATAATAATCGTATCTCCTCTTCCCAAATTGCCCATATTTGTGGACAATCTGAGCGTCAATTAGGGAGACATACAGGCTGTCCCAAAAATGTCTCGCAATCCGGAAATGTTGGGTTCCTCGGATCATTTGAAGCAATTTCTTCCGTTTCAAAAATGTTCTCCGAGGCACCGTTAACGAGTTATTAACGAAAAACAGTGACCAATAAGAATCGAGTACGGCCGACGCGAGGCGGCCCAGCCAACCGGCGCGCGAAGCCCAGTTCCGCTCATTGGCTCGGTCGCCTCGCGCCAGCCGAGCTCGCCTCTCATTGGTCATTGTTTTTCGTTAATAACTCGTTAACGGTGCCTCGGAGAAAATTTTTGTAAAGGAAAAAGTTGCTTCGAATGACCGGAGGAACCCGCCACTTTCGGATTGCGAGACATTTTTGGGACACCCTGCATATCGTTTATTGTCACACCGTCTTACATTCGCCGTCCTGCATCTTCGGCTCGTCGGTCACCGGCTCGATGTCCTCAGCCTGTGTGATCCAGTCCAGGTACCCTCTTAGATCCTCCTCGATCTGCTGCTTCTCCCTTAGCTTGTGGAAGTCGCCCCTCGCTTTCGCCTTTTCTCTCTCTTTCGAGAATTCTCTGTATTGAAGTTAATAAGCATTGAATCCTCTATCCATGCATCTAGCCTAATCTATTGTCCCCTATTTCCATGGGGATCGATGGAATTAGATTTATTTGGTAAATTAAATTTCGTTCGAGTTTAGCGAAGACATGCGAATACAATGTCTCCCTAACTGACGCTCGGATTGTGTGCACAAAAATGGACAATTTGGGAAGAGGAGACGCGATTATTCGAGCCCTGCGGCTCGGTAACACTTTGCTGGGAAATTTTCTTTACCGTTGCAACGACTAGATTAGATTGTAATCGTTTCTTCGAAAAAAAAGAAAACTTGCATTTATTCTCTGCTCGGACGTTTGTGTATTAATAACGAGAGAACGGAATTTTATTCCGACACTTAAAAAGGAAAGAAACGACGTTTATACTTAACGGACTAACGAATAACTTGAAATGTCTGTAACGAATCCAACTCGGAGAAGATGCCGAACGGTGAGATTAACGTTAGACTTTGGTACATGATTTTAAAGAAACAGCGATTGGTACCCTAGTATTGGGAATTAAAAAAGAAGTAGCTTAACNCAAAAATGTTCTCCGAGGCACCGTTAACGAGTTATTAACGAAAAACAGTGACCAATAAGAATCGAGTACGGCCGACGCGAGGCGGCCCAGCCAACCGGCGCGCGAAGCCCAGTTCCGCTCATTGGCTCGGTCGCCTCGCGCCAGCCGAGCTCGCCTCTCATTGGTCATTGTTTTTCGTTAATAACTCGTTAACGGTGCCTCGGAGAAAATTTTTGTAAAGGAAAAAGTTGCTTCGAATGACCGGAGGAACCCGCCACTTTCGGATTGCGAGACATTTTTGGGACACCCTGCATATCGTTTATTGTCACACCGTCTTACATTCGCCGTCCTGCATCTTCGGCTCGTCGGTCACCGGCTCGATGTCCTCAGCCTGTGTGATCCAGTCCAGGTACCCTCTTAGATCCTCCTCGATCTGCTGCTTCTCCCTTAGCTTGTGGAAGTCGCCCCTCGCTTTCGCCTTTTCTCTCTCTTTCGAGAATTCTCTGTATTGAAGTTAATAAGCATTGAATCCTCTATCCATGCATCTAGCCTAATCTATTGTCCCCTATTTCCATGGGGATCGATGGAATTAGATTTATTTGGTAAATTAAATTTCGTTCGAGTTTAGCGAAGACATGCGAATACAATGTCTCCCTAACTGACGCTCGGATTGTGTGCACAAAAATGGACAATTTGGGAAGAGGAGACGCGATTATTCGAGCCCTGCGGCTCGGTAACACTTTGCTGGGAAATTTTCTTTACCGTTGCAACGACTAGATTAGATTGTAATCGTTTCTTCGAAAAAAAAGAAAACTTGCATTTATTCTCTGCTCGGACGTTTGTGTATTAATAACGAGAGAACGGAATTTTATTCCGACACTTAAAAAGGAAAGAAACGACGTTTATACTTAACGGACTAACGAATAACTTGAAATGTCTGTAACGAATCCAACTCGGAGAAGATGCCGAACGGTGAGATTAACGTTAGACTTTGGTACATGATTTTAAAGAAACAGCGATTGGTACCCTAGTATTGGGAATTAAAAAAGAAGTAGCTTAACGTGGGACAGCGTCGAAATAATTTGCAACGTTCGTAGATACATCGATTGGAACATTTAAAAATAGCCGAAGCCTTTTGAATCCATTTCGAGTACAGGGTAATGTCTTCCTAACTGACGCTCAGATTCTGTAGAAAAATGGACAATTCGAGAAGAGGAGATACGATTATTCCAGCCTCCTTGTGGCTCGTTTTTATAGTTGTTGACAATTCGTAACTATAGAAACGAATCGCAAGGCTCGAATAATCGTATCTCCTCTTCCACAAATTGTCCAGTTTTGGGAACAGTCTGAGCGTCAATTAGGGAGACATATTGAAAGAATTATAAAAAGGAAGAAAAGTATGTTCCTATTTGTCTCCCGTTTCTTGCAATCGATGCAAACAATTTCTATTAGATTGGCGCGTATGAAATATCGGATTTTTAAGTTTTTTCAAAAGCTGTTTATTTAATCAAAATATACTCTACGTTCGCTTCGATACACTTTTTCCAACGAAATCTTAATGCAGAGATGCCTGTCTCAAAGAATATTATATTAACCCGGAATATTAACCCTTCGTTCGGCCCGTAAAAACTGTCCCAAATGTTTAAAAAAAAGTGAAAGTCGGTTGGCGAAAGATCCGGCGAATAAGCTGGCTGCTGCAATATTTCATATTTTTAATTCATTTCATTTCGCAATTGTTTTGCATGTGTCTGAGACTTTGTTCGAGTGATTCGAGCACTTCCGATTGTTTTGAAACTTTTTTTTATCGCGCCGGCCAAAGAATGAGCAGGATTGCCTCAGTGAATCGATCTTGGCGTCTTTATGTATTTTTAAACGTTTACCGTTCTGATGTACGGGGTGTTCTACGCGAGAAATCACCCTTCACCCATGCACACGTTGCCACGAACCTCCGCTTTCGTGTCTGGAGCCGGCAACTTTGTTCGAAACTTTCTGCCCTATTTTCCCTTTGTCCGCGTTCATCGATTACGCGTTGCTCGAGCGCGTTCAACTCCCCCCTTCCCCCTCACCCTTCCCCACCCCATCGATTGGCTTATCGCAACGCGGAGAGTGGAAACGTAAAAACACGTGGCCGACCAAAATATGCATTTCGAAACCGGCATATGGTATTGGGTTGGCAACTAAGTAATTGCCGATTTGTTCACAATGAAATAAAAAATTCTTTTTTACTTGGAACGAAGTTTAATCTGTAATGTATTTTCCATTTCGTTCGATGACCTTTTGCCATCTCTCTGACAACTTGAAAATTCCACGCTCAAACTTATGGTATTTCCGAAAAATGAGGGATTCCTGAGGAGATTTCAAGTAACTTTTTCCTTAACGAAAATGTAATTCGCGACTTCGTTTGCGAGTTATTAACGACTGGCGCGAAACGGCTGAGCCAATGAGCGGAACTGACCTTCGTGCGTTCGTTGGCTCGGCCGCCGCGCGCCAGCCGAGCTTGCCTCTTATTGGTCAGTGTTTTTCCTTAATAATTCGTAAAGGAAGCAGCGGATTGCATTTGCGCTGAGGAAAAAGTTACTTCAGATGACCTCAGGAACCCCTAATTCCGCGTAAATACCATAATTTTGGTTACATTATATTATATTATATTAATTACATTATAATAATTATAATATAATGTAATTCTAATGTAATATAATTGTAATGTAACGTAATTGTAATCTAATGTAATTCTAATGTAATGTAATTATAACGTAACGTAATAGCAATGTAATGTAATTGTAATGTAATGTAATTGTAATGTAATGTAATGTAATTCTATTGTAATGTAATTGCAATGTAACGTAATTATAATGTAACGTAATTGTAATCTAATGTAATTCTAATGTAATGTAATTGTAATGTAACGCAATTGTAATCTAATGTAATTGCAATGTAAAGTAATTGCAATGTAATGTAATTGTAATCTAATGTAATTCTAATGTAATGTAATTCTAATGTAATGTAATTGTAATGCAATGCAATTGTAATGTAATGTAACGTAATGTAATGTACTGTAATGTAATGTGATATAATTGTAATGTAATGTAACGTAATAATTGCAACGTAATGTAATGTAATGCAATATAATTGCAATGTAATGTAATGTAATGTAATTTTAATAAACAGATGTAAAATGTATACAGGATGTCCTGTAAAAATGGATAAAAAATATATATATAATTACAATATATAAATACGAGAATGTGAAATGAGGCTTCCTAATGGTCGTCTTAAAGTAGTGCTGCACAGCAAAATATTCGCCACATTACATCGACCAAGCGACTAGACATTTGGATAATGAAAAAAAATAAGGCAACGTATAGACACTAAACAGGTTAATTAAGACGAGGTCACTTACCCGGACAGCACACCGAGAATCAGGTTCATCACGAAGAAGGCTCCGAGTATCACCATCGAAATGAAATAGATCCACTGCCAGGAGCTTCCCATCGCGTCTTCGATCTAGATAAGGCAAAAACGGTACAGATGGAAGAACGATCGCGTCCCGATGGTACCTGCGAGAACCACTCGGACCGGAAACGTTCCCGGGAGAATCAATTTACACGCATCACGATAAGCTCGACCGACCCGATAAAAAAACACGCGCGGCTTCCGCGAAGAAGTAACAGCGCGCGCAGCAGCGTGCAGAAACTACGCGTTCGTACTTGCTCGCAGGATATAATAACCGGAGCCCACGGAGACGTCGATGCAAATGCGTGTTTTCAGAATTCATCTTACTAAAAGTGGATCCGCAAGAACGTTTATGCCGTCCGTTAAACGATCCCGACGAGACGTAATACGGATGGTACTCGCGTCTTCGCCGAAGAAAACCGCGGATCGTCTCGGCGTTCGTAAACTTCGCCGATAAAACAGCTCCTCGTGGTCGCTAAACGCTTCGCGAAGTTAAACGGTCCCCTGATTTAGGGACGTATTTCCGGTGCACGCGACCATAACTTATGTCATAATAAAGAGTTCGACGACGACAAGTCGTATCCTCCATATAATTAGGCTGCGGATCGTGCGCGGTTCAGAATGATTCTGAGGCTCTCACACGCTCCTTCGCCAGTTTCAATTTTAATCGAAGAATATACGTATTTCTACTTGACTCTGGTTTCTTGGAATCGCTTCAGAAAATTCTCAGCCCGCAGAAAGATCCGCAATTTAATTACGGTACCACGCGACCGACTACATTATATAATATACATTATATAATACAATATTATTCTTCACGGTTTTGGTACCACTGGTAACTATGATTTACTGTATATTCTGTACACGCTGTATATTCTGAAACGTTGCCTAAAAGTCCACTTTGAGGG